TGTTAACACTAATATATATATATACATAATTAACTTAATTAATATAACTTAAATATAAATAAGTATATATAAGCCACTGTTATAATTATCATTTAACCTGTTGAATTTTCAGATTGTCTAACAATATTACACCTATCAGGTTTTTTATTGTTTGCAATCGCAGTGGTAAGGGACAGGCTATTTGCTAATGTCGTAAATGCAGACCGTGCCTTCAATCTTGGCAAAAGAGGAATAGATCGACGACCTTCAAGAGTCCAATCTATACCAGTATTTGGACCATTAAGTCTGGATAACAATAAATTCACATTATTTAAACGAACAAAAGTTTTTTTGTTCTTTCAATCTTTTACAATTTGACAATGATATATAAGACTTTATTTTATAATTTCATTAAATCTCATATATGCAACATTTTTTATACATTGAACAATCTATTTATTTTTTTGTAAACTTCTCAAGTTCACTGTCATATAGAATACATACTGTTCTGCAATTGTTGCAAGTTTCTCGTCGTTCACAGCTCTTCGTATTTCAGCACGGTGTCTTTCATTGGAAATATGTAATACTTTAGCAAGTTCTTGCAATAATTTCTGTTTTTCATTGGTGAAAGGACCTTGAGCACGTAGAACAGAAACCATACTTCCATAAGCATCTAATTCTGTAACATAAAAAGATCATATATCAGAACATCATATAAAAATTAATTATGACATGTTACTAATTTTATAAAATGTATTTTTCTAAATCTAAAATTTGTATTAATCCTATAATGGTAAAGGATATTGGATGCGACCCACAGTTTCGTTTATTTTACATAATGACTAGATATTTTCGGATCCAAAGCGGGACAACTTTATGTAATGAAGAGGAAAATGTATGGATGCAAAAATCAATAAAATAATAGGAATTTATTTTTAAAATAATACAATTATTTATATTTGTCATGTTTTTCTCAATAAAACAATCGCTTTGAAAATGCACTAGTAATATTAATTTTGCAGCCCATGCGCTATTATATATATACATTTATTTCTTTTTATCCATTTTGTTATTAATTAATACTAATATAAGATAAAAAATAAACATTATTTTGTAATATTCTATGTGATATATTTCAGAACATACAATGACCGTTTTGTATTACGTAATCGCATTCATTGTTTTTTGTTAAAAAAAAATATTGTATAAGTATATTTTTTATACAATATTTTATAGAATAGTATATTAAATATGTGTAAAAGTTTTAGTCTTTTTTTAGCCCTCTGATATAATTATTTAAATTTTAAGTAAATTTTCGATTTTTTTGCATCTTTGAAGAATTGTTATCAAAATTTATGAAATATTATATGTCATAATTTAATAAACATAAAATTGAACAACTGTGTCCTTCACATTCAATAGGACATGAATGATATGTTATTTTACAATTTTCATCAACCAGGTGAAACAATTATTACCAAATGCTGTAGTGATAAGATAAATTTTTAAGCTATCCAGAAAAATATAGTTGGATATTAGATTCAACCCAATATTGTTTTATTTATTTTTCATCTAATCATAGCTGCATTCTGTTATTCACTGCCACTGCAAGTACGAAATTTATAGTTCATATTATCTATGTTATAGATTTCTAGTACTCGTAGTGAATAATGGAACGCAGTCCATACAACAAAATGGATAACAAAATTTTAAAAATTATCAAAAATATTATTAAGAAATAAATAATATATATATATATATAACGAAATTTTTTTTCTCTGTTAAAGACACGAATGCTGTAAAATTAATAACTAAACGTTACACTTTCAAAACGATTGTTTCACTGAGAAAAATGTCAAAATAAAAATAATTTTCAGTTGAATCATTTGGTCGATGAAAAGAAAAGATCATTTAGCGATGGAAATTGATTCATTTACTGAAAAGTCATTTTGCTGTACGACAACGTTACATGTTGTTCTTTGTGCTCACAAGGGAAGATTCAGGTATCATGCGGATTTTTTAAAGTTTGACATTAAAATATAAAGTTTAACATTAATTTGTAAAAATAATATGTAACATTCAGGTACCAATAAGTCAAAGGAGTTAAATAAGTCAACAAAGTTTTAAAGTTTGGAATGACCACACATTAACGGAGCAAATGGCCGAGGATGGACTGTGGCATCTAGTCATAGCATCTATTGTGAGCTCAAAAATATTGAAAATTCACTTTGATTCCCTCACAAATGTTTGTCAATTGCATTAAATATTTTTAACATGCATATACTATATATTTACATTATAATATATTTTCAGGTTGATAAAATCCGAGAAAATATCTGGTTCTCTTGTTAGAAATTACGATTAGACATATTCGTCGAGATTCAGCCATTTTCTGATATTCACACGTGCAATAATTTCGAACTTTAAAACTTTGTAACTCTAATCTTTTAATCATAAGCCCAATAGCACTTGAATATTATATATTATTTTTACCAACTCTATCTGAATATTAAACTATTTTATCTTAATATCAAACTTTCCAAAATTCGCGTAATACATACCTGGAGATCTCTCCTTGTCAGCATTTTTAACTTGGATCAAAAAGTTCTCTTGCATGCAATATGTTCATCAGCCTTTGAATTACTTATTCCGACACAGCATTCTTCAGACAGGATTTTGGACAGCACTTTCAAGATATAGCTGATTACAAGATACGAAAATGTATCATTTTTATTGCTTCCAAACAAATGTCTTTTTTCGTAAAAAAATCCAAAATTTACAAGAGATGTTAAAAAGTCACAGAAAGTATGTCATAAGAATAAATTGATGACTGCATATCATGAAATATTATTGCATACATTATGTACTAAAAAATGAAACAAGTGAATAAAAAACTAAAACATAAAATACTAAAATATATATTATTAAATATATCTTTATATCTTTATTCATATTAAAATATTTGTATAAATTGTCCATGTATAATAGATAATCAAAAAACTTTTTTTTTACTTATACATGACTATCTTCTTATGTACATATAAGGTATGAGCTTAAAATAAAAACTATATATGCTATAATTTACCGTTAAACATGCTGTCTAATTCTACGCGTTATCTAGAGAAGACAAAGGTCGTTTTCTAATATTAACATAAAATAATAGCCGCAGCGTCCAGACTCTGCCAGCATTGCCAGAAGAATGCCAGACGTTGGGCTTATATCTTCCAATGTTGTATTTCATATTAAATAAGCTATTAACTTATCCATTCAACACGAAGATCAACTGTTGTGTTTAATAAGTAAATACAAGACGAAAATTATGTTTCCAAGCCATGTCCGCAGTTGCTAAACGCATTGGCTCTCTGGAATTTTTGATGAACTCAGTTTTTCGTCCAGTGAGAAACGCGCAACATGAAGATTATGATTTCACGTAACGTCGCCGTCGCTACAGCAGAAGAACGCAGCGGGGAGCAGCTTCGCGTCCACGATATAATTTTTTACGGACAGCACGAGAGTTGAAACGCAATCGAAAGGCAGCACATCGATGAGGTTCGCTCGTTAAACAAGGCTATTATTCAGCCCACATAACCTTACCGAGGCATCGTAGGCACTTCCTGCACTCATCGCGAGTCATCTCCGATCGCATCGGCCACATGATTCCACGACTCTTCCACAGTCGAGTCCGAGTCAGTCCGAGTCACACGAATAAGCCAACGAAATCAGCGCGCGTCTGCCAAAGCATTTTCGAAGCCTCCGTCAGTATCCGTTGACAGTCGTGCGAGTCGTGAAATTGTCTATTACTAGTACTATTTTATTACCATTATATCGAGAGAATCCCTGAATCCCTGTTAATCGAATGCCGTGAAGTTGGCAACTTCAATAACGGCGACGTCGCATGTGTTGATGAGTTGATTAAAAAAGTGAAGTCCAAACTCCGAAGAGATCGCTATTTTAGACAGATAAAATGCGACACATCGACATATGTTTTTCTTGTTATTAACAAATTTTATCATACGTCGAGTTAGCAAACAGCGATTTTATTTAATGTGTTTTATAAATGGAATCGATTAGAAATCATTTGAACGGACGTCTATTTTCTGTTCCTGCACTAGATTGCTCTCTTTCTCGCTTTAAATACGAATATCAAACGTATTTCTATCTCATTAAGTTCCAAATTTAAGTTCCAAAAGTTTACACTAGTTCAGCCTCAGAAAACAGACCTTATTGGCTGCGTTCAGTGAATTCAACAGTTGAATGAGCGCTTGCTGCTATTGATAGATATTGCTTTCTTCTAGATCTAAGATACTAATTGAATAATCTAAAAGAATACATCAATAATAGAAAGCGTTCACTCAACTGTTGAATCCGTTGACGCAGTCATTGTTAAGGCTTAAACACAATAGGCAATAGGCACAAGCAATAGGGAATAACATCAATCAAAGCTCTTTAATCAGAGCTCTGATGTGTAAGTTCCATATTATCCTAGAGCTCTGATTGGACAGCTCGTTATTCCCTGTTGCTATCTATTGCCTGTGCCTATTGTGTTTAAAGTCTTTATTTTTATTTGAGAAAAGTCACTATTTTGTAATTCAGTAAATTTAAAGGCTCCGTACAATAAAAGGAACAGGCAACAGAGAACAGAGAATAAGAATTTCAATCTATCAGAAATCATGTATTGTAGAATACACAATTTCTAATAGATTGAAATTCTTATTTTCTGTTTTCTGTTCTCTGTTTCTTTCATTGTGCGGAGCCCCTTATACATATTGCGAAAATGAACAAAATCAGGGTGTAATAGGTGTAGCAAATACAATCACCGACAAGATATTATATACAAGATACTATATATAAGATACTTTCCAATTGCTTGACATATCTTAATCCAGTAAGAATCCAACATATGAATTCAGCTTTAACGCTCGATTCAAGCGTCAAACAGATCACGTGATCAAAATCTCGAATATCAAGTATTAATTTTGATTTCATGATCTGATGATAAAAATGAGCGTCGAGCGTATGCAATGAAAAGCATGAAAAAGCAGCCTTATGTTCTGTTGAATGCAACCAATGGCTGCGTTCAGCAGAACATTTGTTTTGCAATTGTTGGAAGTTTTCTTCGCGCTGATTGGATTATGCTTTTCAGATCAAGAGGAATGGTCCTATCTTAGCAGAGAATTATAAAACGGTTGCAAAACTGTTGTGTTCTGTTGAACGCAACCAATGTATTCACTTACTCAACTGTTGAGTTCATTGAACACAGCCTATGAAATTGTATCTATACGCATCATCGGGTATATATAATACATACATACGATATATTCTGTTTTGCTGCTTTGTAGCCTATACTGATTATTAAAAATAGTTGGGTGTGCAGCTCCGTTTTGTAATAATTCAGTGGTTAAAGGCTACATAATGAAAACATTTCCTCGAAATATCGAACGTCGTGCTTTATGGACAAAAAATGTTAGTGAAAGATGTTGGGGAAATGGTATAAAAAATTGTATGCCCGCAACAATTCTTTTTTCTGCGAGATTAAATAATATTTGCATAAATTTATTATTAAAAAATTAATAAAATATGTTTCATTAAAAATGCAATTATTATAAACTTTTTTTTCATTCTTATATGTATGTAATTAGTACACATAATTATATGCATGTTTCAAATATTAAATTAGTAATTCAGAGATGTTAAAATTATTAAAACTTAAAATCTTTTAAATATTATTCAGGATTATGATCTTGGCAATATGTCAAGATTAAGATAATTAACCCTAAATGATTTTACCAAATTATTTCAATAATTCTTTAGCTTTCTAAGTTTTATTTATTTTCTTCATAACAAAATAAAATACTTTGAATAAATTGAATAAATTAATCTTTTTTTTATTGTACATGTAGGTACATTTTGCATCAGATATGTGGGAACCGAGAACTGATGTACGAAAATTGAAATCAAATGCATATCCCACAATATTTGGATATTTTCTGAAAAAAAAAAAAAACCAATAGAAAATAATGTTAATCAAATATTAACAGAAAATAATCAAGCAAATAATAAGACAGATTTTAATGAATCATATCAACCTCTCGACATTCAATTAAATGAATCTATTGCTTATATTCAAAAGCAGGAATGTCAGGTTAATATTAAAATAATTTTAATATTAAAATAATAAAACTTCCAAAAAGATAACATTTAGATATATTTAATTTGTAAAATGAATTTTTTAGATGATTAATGATGTATCTAAATGTAATACATCAGCAATATATTTAGCTTCAACTAAATTTACAACTAAATTGTACAACTAAATTTATTGAATCAAATCAATCTATCGATAACATTCAATTGAAACAATCTATTAGTGATATTGAAAAACAAGAATGTAAAGTAAAATTGAAATAATAACATTTACTAAAAGATAACATACTTGAATATACTTAAAATTCTGAAATAAATTTTAGGTGATTGATGATACATTTGAGACTAATACATCAATGATATGTCTAGCTTTATATTCAGATAAATGTAATGAAAGAGAAGAGCGATATAAAAAATTAGAAAATCTTAACCGAAAACTACGACTCAACATAATTAAAATGCGAAAAAAAATGAAAATTTTAAAGAATACTACATATATTTTGAAAAATAAGTCTAATAATGATAAATATAAAAAAGCTTTACAGTCAGTTTTTACTGACCGTCAAATTAAAGCTTTGTTTACAAAAAACATTGTTAGAATGTAGTCAAATGACACAATTCAACGTGCTTTAAAATTTGTATGCGGAAATAATGGATATAAAGAACTTATTCGTCAGGGATATCCACTTCCAAATGTACGAACTTACCGCGAAGACTAGAAGATTTTCAATTTTAATCAAGAATATCCAAACAAATGTTACAATTTCAAAAAATGAAGAAATCTTATTTTAATAATGAGACTGATTTAATATGAGTTAATATTTGACAAAACGTTTATTATATCAAAGTAATCTTATAACCTTCAACTGGATCATGAATAAGTAATATTTCTTAATGATATAGGTACACACACACTACGTACACATGCCACACGATTTTTATGCTTGTTAGTGTTTGCAATAGTTGGAAGCAGATGGTGGGATTTCACATGCAATAAATTTGATAGTAAAGTATTAAAAGAATATTAAAATAATTTTTCAGATTATAAATAAAATCGAGGAAATAGATTATCATGTGAACTTTATTACATCCAATATGGGTTCAGGGAACATCCGAAGATTATTAGACATTGATTACATAGCACCGGTACACATATTGAAATAGTTAATCATATTATACACCCATTCGATGCGAATCGATATTTATATATTATATATTATATTTATATATTATATAATCGACACATATTTTTTTCAAACAAGCTTTAATTAATAACGAAATAATAGGAATTTCTAAAAATATTAAAGTAAATAATATAATTTATCTTCAAATAAAGTAAAATTGAAACATTTTAACGAATTAATAAGTATTCAAAATAATTGTGAACTGTTATTAACACTTAAAGTTAAGCATAAATGATATCTGTTAAAATAATTTTAATAAAATGAAAATCAATAAGGAAGAAAAATGTATTTTATAATGATATTAAGTGTACAACTTTGCTTCCGCCGTTTTCCTATAGATGGCTTTAGCGGTAAGTGGTGGTCGAAATAAATAGATCATAGACGTCATACAATAAACTTGGGCATCTGTCAACATAACCCCATAGAAACATTAATCGATTTGTGTCTGCATTATAAAATTATTCTCGATTGAAAATGTCAGTTTACGAGCCAAATTCTCATCATTTACGGGAGGTTTTAATTTTTTGCTTCAATATGAAGAAATCTGCGGCTGAGGCTCATCGAATGCTCTCAAATACTTATGGTGAGGCCGCTATTAGTGAAAGAACGTGTCGTGAGTGGTTTTAACGCTTCAAGAACGGTGATTTTGACGTCGAAGACCGGCATAGCGGTGGAAGAGAGAAGGTTTTCGAAGATGCAGAATTGGAGGCATTACTTGAGCAAGACTCGTGTCAAAATCAAGAAGAATTGGCACGATCATTAGGAGTGACTCAACAAGCCATTTCAAAACGCCTCAAAGCCATGGAAATAATTCAAAAGCAAGGAAATTGGTGCCGTACGAATTGAAGCCGAGAGATGTTGAACGGCGTTTATTTGCTTGTGAACAGCTGCTTGAAAGGCAAAGACGGAAGGGACTTCTGCATCGCATTGTGACTGGGGACGAAAAATGGGTTCATTACGATAATCCCAAGCGCAGAAAATCATGGGGAGTTCCCGGCCATGCTTCCACGTCGACGGCCAAACCGAATATTCACGGCTCCAAGATCATGCTCTGTATTTGGTGGGACCAGCTCGACATAGTGTATTATGAACTTAAAACCGACTGAAACAATCACAGGCGATCGGTATGGAACGCAATTGATGCGTTTGAGCCGAGCATTGAAAGACAAACGGCCGCAATACAACGAGAGATACGATAAAGTGATTTTGCAGCATGACAATGCTCGACCCCATGTTGCGAAAGTAGTCAAGACATACTTGGAAACGTTGAAATGGGAAGTCCTACTCCACCCGCCGTATTCTCCAGACGTTGCTCCCTCTAACTATCACTTGTTTCGATCAATGGCACACGGCCTGGCTGACCAGCACTTCTCGTCTTATGAAGAAGTAAAAAATTGGATCGATTCGTGGATAGCCTCAAAAGATGACCAGTTTTTTCGACGCGGGATTCGTACGCTACCCGAAAGATGGGAGAAAGTAGTAGCCAGCGATGGACAATACTTTGAATCATAAATGTATAACCAGTTTTTTACAATAAAGCCTCGAATTTCGGAAAAAAAACGGCAGAAGCAAAATTGTACACCTAATATAAATAGCTTTTTGAACTGTTAGCGGATGAAAATAAAAATCAGGAATATATTACGACTGGGTGATTCATAAAAATTGTTTCGAAATTTTACTTCCATGATCTCAAGGTGTTAGACCTTGCGCATAGAAGAAAAGGAATTAGGAATAAAGAATAAACGATTTCAATTTATCAAAAAACCATGTATTCCGATATATCCGTTTATTCCTAATTTCTTATTTCTTCTATTGTGCGCAAGAATTTAAGCCTCAGACATAATGCGAAGAAAGCGATAGAAATAACACGATTTCAACCTATCAGAAATCAGATACAGTAGAACATACAGTTTCTGATAAGTTGAAATTGTATTATTTCTATTGCTATCATTATTCCTTCGCAATGTATCTGAGGCTTTACAATGTAGAAAAAAAATGAAAATACAAATATAACTCTAATATAGGCCGATATTTATAGCCAGATTTTATATTCAAGACTGTAAGTATAGTCTTAAGAAGTCACGAATCAATCAAATAACCGCATTAGCATCTTAAAATACATCTTAAGACATTATCGCCCGTATTCATAATCAGATCACAGATCTTATATTTAAGGCTTCCTTAAATTTATTCAGATAATCTACGAATTATTTCATTGGCTGCTGAGCATCTAAAAATGAATTTAAGGAAGCTTTAAGTACAAGGTCTGACTATGAATACGGGCATATATTTAAGACAGTTTTAAAATAAAAAACGGACTATGAATACCGTCCCATGTTCAGCGTTTCACAGTTAATAGCTTCCTTCTTATGAACAGTCCGTAGACAGAAAGGGCAAGGATTTAGAAAGAGACATTATGCTCAATTGCACATATCATGTTGTCCCTTCCATCATGGTTGTACCTAAAATGAAAACCAACCTTATCTATCGAAAAAAAAACATGAAAATTTTAAATATATATTTATAAATATATATTTAAAATTTTCATGTTTTTTTTTATATTTATTTTACCAATTCATTCTTTTCTTTATTTCAAGTTTTTACACGATAACCGTAATTATGCGCCAGATTGTCAATTTTCATAGACTAATCAAAGCATCAAAATATGTTCGATACACTTAATTTTATCTCGATTTTGATATTGTTTTCTTCGATTATAATTTTAAATTAAAATCTCGTTGGGGGAGAGGGGAGTTCTTCGCTTTTTTCGAATTTAGTTCCGATTTTAATTTTATTTAAAAAATTAGAAATTCTCTCTCTCTCTCTCTCTCTCTCTCTCTCTCTCGCTCGATGAAACTTTAAATTGTTCGCAACGGTTCAGCGACATCTCATTAATCAAGAAATCAGGAATTTACTGGAACGAAAATAAAAGTTGTAAAATGAATATAAAGAGAGAGTAACAGAAGCGTAAATGAAGCAAAAATTGAGGCAATGAAATGTAAAAGAGGTATTTATGTTTTTTTACGTTTCGTTTCAATTTCACTTTCTTTCTTTATGCTATTTTATTACGTTCTCCTCTTACATCCGATTTATACATATTAATTTTTATTTTCATCAAAAAATTATCGAATTGTTGTGCAGTTCAGTGTTCACTCGGGGTGCGAACATGGCTGCCGGAGGATCGATAGGGATGCATGAGACATTGAATTCGTCTCACTGCACGGTGACTCCTCGAATCCGCGATTGCTGTCCACCGAATGTCACTGTTTTCCTGGATATGCTGGAATATGCGGCGCAGTGACGCGAAGATTCATTCCCTGTGCGCGCGCGCGCGCGCATCGTTCAGCTGATTCGCGGTCGAGTGAAAGTGCTCCGAATACCTGTCGAGTCGTGAAGATCACGGGGCCTGGTCTGTGTGCAGCGCGATGCGTCGGGCGCGAGGTGGTGACGTTTGGCCGTACTGAAAGTTCCTAATGCAACTTTAGGTAGTAATAATACGATACAAAAGTCGAGTTCTCTTAAAATAATTAGAATTGTCTTCTTCCTCCTTCTCTTTCTCTTGTATATTTTACTTACTAATGTAATAATGAAAACAAATTGTACAACTTTTTCTTTCAATTAGAATAGTAATACGAAACTTTTCCTGAGATAGCAGTGAAAGTAAATTTCTATTCTAATTGCAATTGATGCAATTAAAAAAATATTTTTTATAATATTATAGTTAATAAAAAATGAATTCTTTTGAAAAATTTTATAAATAATTATAAATTAATTTAAATAAATTAATTATAAATTAATTATAAATTATAAAATAATTATAAATTTTTCTACACATATGACAGTTAATTATATATGGCTGCAATATTTAAATTCTCCTCGATCACTTTTAATTATCAAATATATATTTTAATCTTCATAATTCTTCCTATAGCCTGCTTTTTTTTTGGAACTCGTCAACACTCATAGAAGAGGGACTGAATTTTCAACAATTGTGGCTCTAATATGCATATTTGGAACTTCTCTTCTTCTTGTTATGTGCATGTAATGTGATAATAAGTAATAGTGTGTGCAATACGTCTTATTGTTAATACTCATCTGAAAAGAATTGTTTCTTTAACAACTCCGCCTTCAGTATAAACATTGGGAACTTTCCTTCATATGCATAATATAACATTACTTATGCAATAATCTGCATCTGGATCACATTTGTATTGTATGTTGCATTAATTAATACTCGAAGAAGAGACTACATCATCTACAGCTGTGATTTAATATGGACAGTTTGCAATTGGTTCTCGTGGTCATTTTTACATTCGTTTGCGGTGTAATATGTACCTTGGCGTTGCAGTTTTATTTGTTCAAGAGGTATTTGGAATCAGGACCTCAGGCTGCTCCGCCACAGAGACAGCTGCAGCATGGCAAGACGCAATTACCTAAAGAACTGGTGGAACAGATGCAGGAGGAACGGGCAAACTCCAATAATAGTATGGCCCGACAGGCGATGTCTCAGGGTAATGAGAATTTGGCTATAAATCTTACGCTGCAATTCCTCTTCAACGAGTTGCGAAATGCCGAGCGAGTGCGTCTGTGGCTTTATAGAAAATTAAATAATGAATTCAAGGAGCTTCTAACGCAGTCGACTACCGCCAAGTTATTAGACAGTGTGAAAGTGAGAATTATTAGCTAAAACAATTTTGAAATGATATGACAAAAAACATTTGTTGTAAATCTTTGTGTAATACATTTTCTGTAATTGTTTGCAGTTAAGAGACTTGAACCTTGGCACGCAATTTCCGACGATAAAGGGTTTGGAAGTCGCTGATTCAAAAATTGATGCCGATACAGGTTTGCTGGAGTCTCTGGACTTGGCCTTAGATTTACATTACTCAGGAAACTTTCAATTGTCTATAGATGTTAAGATGCTGCTCGGTAAAACAGCCTATATGGCGCTGCAAGGTATTATATGTATGATAAGAAAAAAGAATTATAATATTGGGAAGAAAGTTTTTCGTATTTTTTAAATTCAAAATTATGTAAACAATATCTTCGGCAAAAAATGAAATTTAAATTTAAAAAAATTTTAAAGTTTGAAATCTCTACTTTCGAAAAGTTACTATATCCTTTGAGTTTCTATGATTTTAATTTTTACATAGAAAAAATTACGAACTGAAAAAGATAAAAAATTTTCTTTTCACTTTGAGTCTTTCACGTGCCCGAAAATTTTCGACTATCTATCATGAAAGCTTGAAGTTTTACCTAAAATCTTTTTTTTTTTAATGTTCCTATGATTTTTTGTTTCTCAGTTATTCGCGAGTTAAATAAAGGAGCATTCTGACTTTGATTGCTCATGATGAATTCTATAAAAATCATTATATTGCAATTTAAAAAAGCTGAAATTTTGCTTTAGCGAATGATATAACGAAAATTTCGCAATAAATGAAGAATTTTTGCTTAAAAATACGAAGAAACTTTTTCTCCTCAGCTCAATATTATATTTTTTTTATACATTATAAATTTTTATAGTAAAGCGTATCAGTGGTAAAGCTAGGCTGCAGTTTACTCGCGTACCGTACACGCATTGGTCATTGAGCTTTTATTCTGATCCGATCTTGGAGCTGGAAGTACAATCACAGTTTCAAGGTCGTCAGTTACAGCCACAGATAATTTCAATCATTACTAGTCAGATTAGAAGAGCGGTGAAGCGGAAGCATACTCTACCTCGTTATAAGATGCGTTACAAACCATTTTTCCGAAGATTGAACGACGAGGCTGTGGATCTCTCAGAAGTAATAATACCTCCTCCTTTTAAATTTATTCATAGCTTTAAATAATTCACTCGTATATTTGCTAAAATTTCAATTCAAGAAATAAAAATTAGCTTTTATTTTAATTTATTTTCATATAATATCTTAATCTATATTTCCAGGTTGCAAGTACTCAGCTCACTCCAGGATATTTGGAGGTCACACTATTGGAAATTAGCAGACTAAATCTCGCACCTATCCTTCTCAATAACGGCGAAGATGTATCGCAGATAGAAGTATATTGCACCATGAGCATAGATTCCACCCCTTGGATTTATTTAACGCAGTATAATGGGATTCCATATATGGTGCTAGACTTAATCATCAGTAAAACGGGCTCTCAGCAGTTGGGTGTAGTGTTCAAGCAAGAAATTGTATCAGAGATCGGCCAAATGTGTGTACTAGTTGAGACTATAGTATCCGGCAGTCCGGCGGCGATCGCTGAAATGAGAAAGGGCGATATTTTGGTAGCAGTAGACAGCAAAAAAGTGTCGAACATGAACCAAGTAGCGAAATTTGTCAAGTCTGCTGTACAGCGACGTTTCATTATCAGGGTAGAGAGACGGTATTCGAAGGCAGATTCGAACGAGAGAGGACAAAAACCAGATAACGAGAAAATGCTTTTCGCAGAAAGGAAGACTTCGAAGAGTGATTCAGTGGGTAAGCTAGACAGCCCGAGCGTAGAAGACGCCGGAAAGATGAAATTTGAAACACAAATCAAGTTCTCTGATCTACGAGATTCTGACACTGATCTCATGGATACCCGGTTGGAAACTAACAAGCTATTCAAGAGAAGAAAAAGCAGCATTCAGACAGAAGAAATCGCCCAGACACCGGATACTACGCCGTCTCGACGAATCTCAACGATCTCCACGTCGTCGGTATCATCCAGCAATGTTCAATTTTACCTTCCGGACGATAGTAGCACAAATAATATTGCTGATCTGTATCACAACACGAAAGAAAAACCGTATACCTCTCTGATTATCTTCGAAGAGACCAAGAGCTTCCGGATTGATTCTGAATTGCAATATTTAAATGTAGGTGTATGGGGCCGTGTGAAGGGCGGTGAAACACCACCGAAACTGCTAGGCTACATAAATGCACCTGTAAAATTAATCCTGTCGCAATGTTGCACTTCCACGACTGGACATTACTTAAAATGTCATGCTTTGTTGCCTCCAGATAGTGGTAGGTTTCAAAAATTATCGTTTCATTTTTAATTTTATAACAACTACAAATATATATTATTACTACAAATATATATTATACAAAGTGTTCTGCAAGTTTTTTTATCAAGCGCTTTTGTATAGATAGAGCGAATTAAACTGAGTCGAAAAGTTCTCTACCATTTTATTGTGTATTTTTTGCAATAGTTAACAAGATATTAATTATTAAAAGTCGCTGAATATTGATTTTCATTTAATTTTTTACTCAAATATTATCAACTTTACAGAAAAACAGCGAGAGACAAAATTGTTTATTTTCTTTACTCTATCTACACAAAAGCGCTTGGCAGAAACTTACGGGGCACTCAATATAATTATATATAAACATAGTTTTGTCTGATAAATCTTCTCAAGTGAATTTGAAATAATAAAAAAATAAATATTTCTCTTACATTGAAATTCTGATAAATTTCATCAATTCTAAAGAGAATTAATTAGAAACAAGTTTAAAGAATTAATTTTGGAATTTCTTTTAAAGCTTCTTTAGCAACGTCGTACGTAAGACTGCAGGGTTATTCGGGATTCGATCCAACACTCTGTTACGGCGACATCCTGCTATCGTATGTATGGGAATCTTGTCAACCAAGCGATCTCACAGTCAACGATATTGGAAAGAAAGAAAACGCAGAAACTGCCAAAATTCAACCGATTCCAAGTGAAGAAATCACTGACAAAAAGATGCACGATTTCATCAGGACGCATTTTCACAGAGCAACACACTGCGATTTTTGCACGAAAAAGGTAAGTATGGCATTGTAAATCCATAATTTATTTAATAATTCAAATTGCCTTGATGAAAATCAATAAAATTATCAATTAATTACACTGAGAAAAAAAAAGTCAATTTTAATAATAATAATAATAAATATTAATAATAATAATAAATATTTGTTCAGTACTAATTAAATATTTATTTACTTATAGTAAATAAATAGTTGTTCAATAAAAAGAATGATTGTTAAATCAAATTAATGTTTCTTGTACCGAATAAATATATCTTTATTAAATATTTAGGTGGTAGATTATTAGAATTGAAACTGTATATTTTTCTAAGTGTGTACATATCTTTCTAAGTGTGTACATATCTTTCTTTTAATTAATGTTTGTGATATCCAAAGAACAGAGAGAGAGAGGGGGAGGGGAGGGGGGAAGGGAGGAGGAGGAGGAGGAGGAGAGAGAGAGAGAGAGAGAGAGAGAGAGAGAGAGAGAACTCTGTCAAATGTAAGATATATTACATCTATGTAATCTAATTAAAAAAAATAAAATTTTTTTATTTTACCAAAATTTTATTTTATTTTATTTCTCTATTTTATTTTACTTAATGATCCAGATTGTTTCCTGTGCAGATTTGGTTAAAGGATGCAGTACAGTGTCGAGACTGCGGCATGGTATGTCACAAAAAGTGCGAGGCACGTTGTCAGGCGTCTGGCACCTGCGGTGCAGAAAGTCTAGCAACCTTGGCTCTGGAGGCGGACGAGATCGTCGTCGGCGAACCAAACGTTGGGGATATCTCTAGCCCGGAGATCTCTCTGACTGAATGCGAAGATAACGTACAGGTACTCAAGACGTAGAATCTTAGGGCATTTTGCTATCCGCGAGCGTAATCATTTTGTATTGCGTTATATGATGCTTCCTATATGAGACAACAGGTTTCGGACTGAAAGAAAAAAGACACTTAATGTTCACTATTGGCATTTAGAAAGTTCCAATTTATATTTAAGAGAAACTCTTATCTTGATAGTAATTTTTAATATTAAGTTAAAAATGATATGGTATTTTGCTTTCTAGTCCGATGCTGTGAATCTTATAACTAAATAATTAATATTAGTAACATTATTTTGTATGATTGTATTATAACTTATACACTGCAATGTTTCTTTACGTTTACATGAATGAGGAGCAGACTTTCAAAATGCATTTTGTCCAAATTACGTTTTTTGAGTTAGAAACGGCATAATAGAGTTAGTAAAAAGATGTTTTAAACAGTTCAAAACACGCTTAATTGATGTTTTTAATATATTTTTTTATAGTACTGTTTAAAACATATTGAAAGCAATATATTTAAAAATATATTTGAGAAAAAACACAATACATTTTATTCTTAAAAAAAAGTATTAGTCTTACCAACCCTGCGGCATAGTTTGAAAGACTCATATTTTAAGCTACTCTACGATGTTCTGGAAGCATTTTTTTATCATCAATTTATATACTGAAAAAAATCTAGACATTCGAAGTATATTATAATATGTCCTTTAATTAGAAACAAACAAAATATATTCGTTTAACATTAAAAATAGTTTAATAATTTTGTTTAACATTTTACATTTTATTGATTGGCAAATTGTTATTTTCTGTAAGACACGTAGTTTCCTTGTGGCTTTCTTCTTCATTTTCCAAAAATTATAAATTTTGGACAAAACGCGTTTTGAATCTGCTCCTCAAATATGCAATTTACATTAACATCATGACATACGTTGAATCAATTATATTAGAAGTGCTCCATGATTTATTTATTTATTCATTTTTTAGAAATCACATTTTTACGTTCCTCATATTATAATTTAGATATTGCCTAATATTCATATCTATCAATGTAAGTAAAGAATATTTAAAAATAATACATAGAAAATATTATATGATATATTGTATGATATATTATATAATATGTTTATGTTATATATTATATAGATATAGATAATATATAATATACAAAAAGTATAACTAATATTCTACATATGATATTTAAAAGTGATATCTTTATTTATAATATTTATTATTTAAAAGTATTTTTAAATGTAGCAATAATGGACTTTGTTTCGCATTTTGAACATGTTCAGTTTTATTCAATTGTTTTTATTTATTTATAATATTTTTTTATCGAGTTATATTAATAAGATTAATTTCTATGTGATATTAATTTTGTTGATATCGTTCTGAATACTGATCACGTGGATAGAGCAAATAATTATCATTATTACATATCGATGAAATATTAGAGCGTTTAATGACATGTCACATGATTAAGGGACTGTACAATTTTCGAAAACTCACGTGTGTCTTCAAATGCATTTATCTTGATATTTTGTATATATAGCAGAGATTGTTAAGCGTGACTTGCATTTTGTTGTTGGCAATAAAATGAACTGAACATATGCACGGGGAGGTGAAGGTTCTTTGTAAAGCTTGCACCTTGACCTTGCCTTTGTTCTCAATGAACTACATATAAGTAGATAAATATGTTTAATTTTCTTTCTCATATGAGATCAACAGTGTTTTTATTTTCATCAATTTTTAAATTTTTAAAACTTATTAATAAAGCATATATTCTACATATGTGATGTTTGTGAGTAGTCTGCAAAAGAAAATATTTTAAAATTATTCTAAATAATTATTTTTGTAACTTTTTAACGCAGATTTCTATGACGTGAATATACAGCATTCAAATTTATTTATATTTTATTTCAGTCTAATATGTCTTAGAATTTAGATAGCGATAAATTGGCAATTATAAAGCATTTCAAAATTTCATAAATTGTATACTTTTTTGGTAAAACGACATACACTTTGAAAAGCAATTTTGCACTTTTAATTTATTATTTTACGAGTAGCTTATTATCGTAAATGATGAAAAGATATTAATCTATTTGAAATCCATTGATCGATTAATTAGGGCGCAAGTATGATGGCCGTGAAGGCTAGTATAGCTAACACTCTATTGGGCCTGAAGAAGGCTGGAAGTACCAGTTGCTTGGCCCCACCGGCTTCCGGTATTGGTCTGGCATCTCGAAGTCTCCCTCCAAGTCCCTGTGCATCCCGCAAGGTAGAATAATAACACACATTTGTTCGTCCGAAGCGGAGAAGGTGCTCAATTTAAAAAAAATTTTTATCTGATGAAAATGTTTAATATTTATTAGCATTACAATGCTAACAGAACAGAGGATATAATGGAAAAATTTAAGGCAATAACAATTCGAATATAATTATAAATAATTATATTTTATAAATCATTATATTAATTGATATTTTTAATATATTGAAACATCATGTTTTTTAATTAAATTAAAAATGAATGTTTTTCTATATTCCGTATTTTTTATCTTCTAATTTTTAAATTGCATTAAATTTTAAATGGCCAAGGCACTGTAATTTCAGTAAAACATTTTTTCTCCTTGCATATCATTATGCAACTTTCCATTTTACTATATATATTTTTTATCTGAGTTACATCAAACCTTCTCCGCTTCACCTTCTTCCATGTTTTCTCAAATCTAAAAAAAGAAGAAAAAAGAATGTGCTCTGAAAATTTTTCATATCTTATAGTTCTTTGCTTGTGTGTTTATTCGCTTTATCATTCCTTCATCAATCATGCCTTACCATCCAAGATGAACTTGCTAATTCTCACATAAGATGCAAGATAAAGTGATTAATAACTGTGGATACTAACGATAAACGATAGAATTTGAGGCAATTTTGATCCAATTAATCATTAATTTTTTATAGATCATTTATTTATGAATATCTGAATTCTTTGAATTTCCTCTACTTACAATTAGTGAATGGTTACTGTAATTTACAGACTATTATTTCTATCATAAGAGAGATGTAATATTTATCACTTGCTCGAAACTGCTGCAAGTTTTCTCATTGACGAGGATTTTCAACAACTGATGAACGCTGATCACAACACTGATTGCATTGCAATTGCACTTTAACACTGGAGGCAAGCTTCCACACGGTGATCATATAGATATAGGATGATCAATGCGACTCACACGCATGATCGGTTCGACTGCTTGATTATGTTTCACTTTCCGAATCGACATAACATCGAACGAGGATACATCTTTTGAAGAGCGCGTCGCATTAATCAATTTGATGAAATTGTTGAAACGTTTAGAATTCATTGGCTGGAGGTCTGGGAATAAGTCCTGACCTCTTGGAGGGTGCTGAGCCAAGTGTTGCAGCTCCACTTATGGCTGGCGACCTAGATGACGGTCTTATGTCGAGGGCCAGGGATACCGGCAAATTCTTATATAAATACTTGGAGCCGCAGGAACGCGTCGAGAAAATCAACACCATGGTACGTGATACAAGTTTTTTTACATAAATTATTTCGAAATAGTCGAAAAGATAATTGGAGAGATTTATCTACGGTTCTTCATGAATTATTAAATTGAATAAAGAATCTTCCTCATCGAAGATTTAAAAACCTTTAAACATTGAATTACCATGATTTTAATAATGATAAGATTTCTTGCATACAAAATCAATACAAAAATTTAATTGTAGGAATCTGTTAAATAAGTATATCTTTTTTTGCAGATGGGAAAATTGAAGAACGCGCTAGACGCTGAAACTACCTCAAGATTAGAACTGTCCCAGAACGGAGACGCGGATAGCATGAAACTGATCGCGCAGAGCGACCTGCGAGTACAGGCACTAAGCGTGCTGTTGTTGCACTACTGCGCCGGCTTACAACACGCGCAGGAGATGGTGGACCGACCACAAAGCAAGGAATCTTAACAGGCATTCAATTAATATGACAGCTTTAAGAAAAAAACGCATTTTCTCCCATTTCTCTATAAAACAATTGAACGTAGAAAATGTAGTGATATTTTATAATGAAATAATTTGTTCACCATTTATTTCACAGTAAGCAACGACTGGGTAATACTAACACTATGTTACAATCATCAATTTTATAATGTTGATATTGCCAATTTTTAATATGAATTGATTATAATATTGAAATTGTAATGTTCAGACTGTATAAAATGCTGTATCAGACTGTATAAAAATGCACAGAAATATTTATATTACTGCACAGATAATAAGGAGCAAGTATCTAACAGTATTTATATTAACATTCCATTAGTGCAGATATCACAATCTTGTACTTACTTTTTCTTGTTTCTACTTGTATAATATTTACTGTAATATTTTAGAAAATGTTACTTATGTAGCATTATTATAACGTTACATAACGATACATTTTAATGTTGATGTAACTTTATAAATATTATACTATATTATTATAATATTACAGAGAAGAAGGGAGGGAGGGAGAGAGAGAGAGAGAGAGAGAGAGAGAGAGAGAGAGTGTATGTGTGTGTGTGTGTTTGTTTTTAAATGCATATTGCATCATAGCTGTTCCAAGATCTATTCTACATTAGTCAATTGATTGAACTTTAACACAATTTACAATGCCGATAAAAAGATGATAAAATCAGAGATGATAAAATGCAAATATTAATTAGTCCAAATTTTTTAGTCCTATATGTAATAACAAATCTTTAAACAAATATTTGATAATTACATTTCTTGTTTCAAAATCTATATCTTTGAAAATATTTTTTTAAAGAAATTTTATATTATATTATTTTTTTTATCTTGCTTAATTTACAAAACTTAATGTTAATAATTGCAAACGATTATGTAATTATATATTTGTACTGTACACAGGATCAATCGAAATTCTGTGTATGCGTTATGCACGTAAATAATACATTCGTAATTACGCACGCAGATAATACAATTTTTTGTATCTAAGGGTTCTTCTAATAATTTTATCGATTTATGTGTTATAATTTACATTATATACGTAGGATAATACTCAGAGATTGGATATTATATTTACCAAGAGAAAACACCAAACTCGTTAAAATTAGTATTAATAGATTGTTATAATAATAATTATTGCAATGTGCATAGAAACGTGTATATTCATGCAACAAGAGAAGTGCTCTTGCTTGTGAAACGATACACGTTAGTTAAAGCTTTGCATAAAAAAAAAAGACAGTGCGATTTTCCAAATGCCTAAAATACATTTTATCTGATAACTATTTTATGCGATATATATCAAGTTCGCAAATCTAATGTATGATGAACATATTATTATATTGCGAATTTATAAGACTATTTATAGATTGAGATTATGATGATCTGTCGCGATCGTGTTGATCTATACCGGACAATTGTTGAATATGATGCACAAGTCTGCATTTTGCGCCAAAATAATGTGATAAGAAAATGTCTTACACATTTTTAATAACATTTTCAAACTTTTTCGTCTCTTTTAACAAAGCCAATTTGCAATCTCAATCGTTAAAAAAATGTTTGACAGAAGGAATTTTAATATCTATATTGCTTTCTACATCTTTTAAATTACAGTACATTTTACTGTTTACGATCTTTCCTAGCAAACGAGAATGGATTGAAATGAATTGAAATGAATTCAGATTTTCAGAAATATTGATTCACGAATGTTAAAATGAATCTTAAAATGAATGCTTTTCAATCCTGAATGCATTTTTATTCATCATTTATAAGAATTGCATGGAGCATATCCGTATGCCTTTCAATCTAAAAGTAATATTAGCTTTTTCTGTGTATTGTGAATATTATTCAATTCAAAAGTTTGAATAGGAAGCAGTTTTCCAATTGAATTTAATTGAATCCAATTGAATCTAATTAAATCCAAAAAAAAATATTCGCTATTTAAAATACGCATTCGGATAGAAAAAAATTTCAATCTATTTTAATCCATTCTCGTTTGCTGGGCTTATTAAATAATTCACAAATTATAATCATAGAAAGAAAATGAAAGCAAATGATGTTTTTCAGTATCTTACTTACGAATCGCAGATGGTGCCAAATAATTTAAACTTTAACACAGAACATATCTATCAATTGAAATGATTATATTGAATGGCATTAAATAACATACATATATTCGCATATTAAAAAAGAAAGCGTATAATACTGAAAAAGAACTGGAAGTGAACAAGTTACATTTAGCATTAGATATAGTTTTGCGATTCTCTACGTAAAAAGTACATTGATTGAGCTAGATGACAGCAATTGGATGGTTACGTGTAAGCGCTGAATGAATACAGATCTTTGACTGTTGAATCTATAATCAAAGAATTTTACCGCTTTGGCCTATAAATTGATATTGATATGATAACCAATTAAGAAACTGCAAAAATTTTGACTGTATTTAACTTAATTATTCACAGTGCATTTAATAGCATACGAACAGCTTCGTATTAGCGAAATCCATCCATAAGCATTTTTGTGTGGCTGTAATTTAAGGTGTTGCGCGATTGCAAACTGTATTATCACTCATTGTTATATATAAAGTGGAACATAAAGGCATTATACAGATTGTTAATTATTGTAAATCTCTATTTATAGTACGTCTCTCTATTTATAATACGTCCTAGTATACGTACCTTTTACCTACGATTTATTGATACTTGAGTATGCAATTGTATGATTTATAAATTGCATTTCGATTAATTGCAAATCGTATACCAATGTTTTTTAAAATTATTATTTAAAAAGAATTTATTGTACGCCTTTTCTATCTATTTTTCAAGCTATATTTTGCGAATTGAAATTTATTTATAAATTGAATAGTATTCTTCATAAAAATCTGAGAAGCGCGAATATTAAAACGAAATACTACGAAGTAATGATGAAAATTCATCAAATTCCATGCATTCTAATGAACATGTTGCTCTCGTCGCAGACTGTAGCACTTTGTTTGTGCGAGAAAGGCTTTCGTATCTTTACTTTTTGATTCACCCTTGTATAAAAGCGCACGTGCTACAAAAGAGCTCGGCGCAGTTGAAGAGATACACAGAAATCGCAATAAAAGTCACCGAGGCAGGGATGGGCCGCGAATCGTGTTGTTCGCATCGGGGAAATTCCACGATGAAAAATAGACATTCGCGAAAATCGCGTGAACGCACGTCACGAACACGAACGACATTTCTGTCGCAATCTCTCGTTGAAGATGTATTAAGTCTTTCATGATTATAACTAGTTTTGTATTAGTCATATCTACTTGTAATCATTTATATACCTTGTACTCATTTCTTAAGTTTTAAGAAGAGAATTTGTTTAATTTTTGTTCCGCAATATATATATATATTAGGTGTAGTAAAAAGAAATCCATTATTTTTGCATGAAATTGAATGGAAAAATAATGGATTTCTTTTTACTACACCTAACATATATATAATCTTTTCATAAGAAAAATCCTGATCTCGTCGACCTTTCAGTTCCCCCGTAGTGAAACAAAGATCGACATTCGCTGAGCGATATATCTGAAACGCATGAGAGAGCACAGCCACATATTTTTCAGCAGTACTTTTTATTAGGAAATACTTTGCACTTATATTAAATATCTTATACTCATTAATTTTAATTATAATAATTATTGTAATAGCATTGTCCTAACTCCCTACTAAGAAGCATGCTTGTTCACTAACACATGTTACACAATCTTAAAATTACAAGACGAGTTTGCTTCTCTCTTCTCTGTCGCCGGACTTTACTCTTTACTGTACTTACAACTCTTAAAATACTCTTACAATACCTGATTCAATACAATATTTGTCGAGAGTGTATCGAAATATGCGCTGTGTTTCAAATGACGATTCGGCAAAATATTTTGGAAATAATCATATAATCAAATTCTTATCATATCGCTAAAATTAAATGTTATGCACACGTATTGTGCGGAAGAATAGAAGGGGAAGTGAGGCATCTTCTCTGAAGGAAGAATTGTTGGACATTGTTCTTCGTTATAGGAATATTGAACTCATCTAATAA